CAACAGTCTTTTTTGTATTGTTTTTCCACTTCCCCTGGTGTTACTTTGCTCCTCTTCTCTTCCCCATCTCCCTCATCGCATTACTCTCCTCTTCTTGCTCAGCCTTCCCAACCAGAAAAAGGAAATAAAACTTGTAATGTCTTGGAAAAGTCGACCAAACTAAAACATCATGACACTTATGTGGAAAATAACTAAAGCATAAGTTATTACAATCTGAATAGTAAAGAGTCAAAGACTCCTAGTAATCTGAAAATTAAAAGGGGGAAAATTTCACTTTGTAAATTCATGTAAAATGTACAAAGACAATGAAACAGAAGGTAGAGTTGGTGGCCACAAATGGTGGTGGAGTTTCCTCTAAATCTACTCAAGGAAAGGCCACATGTCTGGTATAGTTGAAACTAGTTACCCTGGTTTTAAACTAGTTTCCCTAAACGAGAAAGGAGTTATAAATGTCTCTTACTTTATGTAAATGTATTCCACTGATTTCACCACTTACGGCATTTGTGTGTTGCTTTCCTTTTTTAGTAACACTTCCATTTACCTAGCCTGCAGAATTCAGAGGTATATGACATGAAATGGACCGACCCTGGTGTCAAACCATTTAGGTCTCAACCTGGAGTCACCACTTACTAACACTATGACTAGTCAATCTCGTGAAGCCTAGGTGTATTTAGCTACAAAATGAGGATAATAATAGTATCTACTTCATAGGATTTTTGTGAGGTTTTAGTAAGATCATAAATGGAAAGCAAAATGTCAGACACACCTTAAGTATGCCATAAACATCACAATTATTAGTAGTGTTATTTTTATTATTATTAAACTCTGTGACTTGTGCTCTTGAATCAGAAAACACTCTACAGTGCCCCTTCCATCGTGGTTGCAAATTTTTCATCTTAAAATCCTTTAACGTCAGTGGTTCTCAAACCTAGCCTGCATCAGAATCACATTTACAGCTTGCTAAAAACACGGATTGCTAGACTCCACTCTCAAAGTTTCTGATTTAAAAGTTTGGGGTGGGCCTAAGACTTATCATTTATAACAAGTTTCTGATGGTAATGATGTTGCTAGTCCGGGATCACACTTTGAGCACCAGTGTTCTATATCAGACATTTGCTAACTTTTTGTGTAAAGCACCAGACAGTATATATTTCAAAAACAGCCATAAACGATGTGTGGCTGTGTTTCGATCAAAGTTTACACATGCTGAAATCTGAATTCCTTATAATTTTCACATCATATAATACTGTTCTTTTTTGATATGTTTTGATCATTTAAAAATATAAAATAATTCTTGTGTCTAAGACCAGACTGGGGGAAAGAAAGGAATATAAAATAATGCATTGTGAAGTCATAATCAAGCCTATACTCCCAAACCAATTCAGAAGTAAGAATCTCAAAACATTTTTTAGAATAAGCTGGAGTCCAAAATAAAATGTGAGACCAAGTTTGAGCCACAGAAACAATCTACATTAGCAATGCAGAAATGTAACACAAAAATATATGTGCAGGCCACTTATGAATTTGAAAATTTCTAATAGTGACATTTAAAAATAAGACCAAGTGATATTAATTTTAGTATTTTATTTAAACCAAAATATTATCATTTCAACATGTAATCTATATAAAAAATTAATGACATATTTTATATTCCTTTTCCCATACTAAGTCTTCAAATCTGGTGTGTATTTCATAAAGGACATCTCAGTTTGGACTAGTCACATTATAAGTGCTCAAAAACCACATGGCTAGCAGCTACCATATTGGAGAGTGCTTATGTCCATGTTCAATTTGACAAATGTTTATATATGAGCAAAATTATAAATTACACATTGAAAGACTTTCCAGGTCAAATGTTAAATTTTCCAATGTCAGAGCTACTGTACAGTTATTACATTTAGAGGGCCAGTAAAAAATATTCACCAATTTTATAACAAGAATTAGTGGAAAATTAAGGTTCATATAAGGACAGTCCCCAAATTAACAAGCATGAGGCATTTTAAAAATTCATTTAAAATAACAATTGTGAGTCAGTTGTTTGGAGCTTGAAACATGTATCCATATGATAATAAGTCTATAATAGTTGTTAATGTCCTAGACTAGGGATTAGCAAACTGTGTGAATAAAGTTTCAATGGAACATGCCACACCCATTCATTTACTACTTTTGTACCATAATAACAGAGCTGAGGAGTTGCAACAGAAACTATGTGGCCCACAAAGCCTAAACCTATTAAGAGAAAGTTTGCCAAGCCCATCCTAGACAATACCATAAAGGTCACATAATCCATATTATACTTGAATTTCAATGAAAGCCATGCAACAGAGAAGAAAGGAAAACATATTTTCTTATACCTTTCCCAGGCATAGGCCCACCCTCAGGCAAATTTCTGAAATAGGCAAAATCTACCTAAAACATAAACCCACTCCCCTTGTTCCTAGATCCTTTCAGTACACTGATGCTACCCTACGTTCACCTCCATCTCTACATCTCATGGCAGAATCTCTCAGCTCTCTATGGACTCATTATTTGGAACATACATGTTTCACTGAATTATTATTTTATAAATCTATCTTCACTTCCTTCCAGCCTCTATAACAGTAGTTTTCAACTTTTTGATCTCAGGACTCCTTTATAATCATGGTAATTTGTAAAGGTTAGCTATAATGCAGACTCTGAAACCACATAAACTTTCATGCTCTGTTACATTAAAATCTGTGATTCCATCTTGTAGTTTGAAAGGATCTTATACTGGTGCATGATCTTGTAATATTCATTAGTTATTTAAAAATAATGGTTCACCAAATTATGCAGATCTCCCATTATTGACACGTTTCACTATACAACATCAAAAAAACTTTATTCATTAATATCAACACTAACCCTCATCAGAAACTTTATACTTGAAAGCTCAAATTTTATCACTGGCCACAATATTGTCAGTTATTTTCCTTAAAGTGATAGGCTCGTTTCACTTACTTTGGAAAAAAATATCTGTCAAATGCTTAAGTCTGAATAATCACAGATTATAAGTCTGTTGTTCGTTCATGTAAAAGTGGTGTTTTATGAAAGTAGCAGCTAGCTCAGCTTGCAATCAATCACACAGGTGCTTTTCTCAAGACAATCATGAAATTTCAGTATGCATAAGAGTTTTTGGCAAACTTTCCATTTCATTACACAGAATCTTAAAAGATGTGTACTCAAGCATCAAGATTTAATACAATTAATAATTTCTACTGCTTCATCAAGGACATTCTTAAGTGAAACTGCCATTTTTTTTTTTTACTACAAGTGTGTGGTAGTAAAGAATACAGTGACTACTGATACAGTTTGGTACCACTGCCTTGATTCACGCATTCACTATTGATTCACTATTACATTTGCGCTATTAGTACAAATATCAACACAGTAATAAAGGCAAATAGTGTCTTAGTATTATTATGAAAATAATTTTGCCCTTGCTTTGTTCCACTGCTCTAGACCTTAAGCTTCTAAGGGCCAGTCTTACTCATGTCTGCTTGAATTTCAAGGAAAGCCATACAGCAGAGCATAATCACAGCTCACTGTAACCTTGAACTCCTGGGCTCAAGAGATCCTTCCACCTCAGCCTCTCAAGTATCTAGAGCTATAGGTGTGCGCCCACGCCTAATGTTTTTTTATTGTTTGTAGAGATGAACAATATGTTTGCCTCCCTATGTTGCCCAGAGTGGTCTTGAACTTCTGGCCTCAAGCAATCCTCCTGCCTCAGCCTCCCAAAGTGCTGGGATTACAGGCATGAGCCACCTTGAGCAGCCAATATATGCTTCTTAATGAAGCACTCAATGTTCCAGAATTGCCTATAGATATCAGGCCCTAATAATAAAAATATCCATTTATCCTGTGCTGACCTCAGGTGCTAGACAAAAAGCAATCTGGAAATAATTTGAGAAATCCTAAACAAGGAGTTTGGAGATCAGATCTCAGTCTGCCATTAACTAGCTGTCTCCCTTTTCTAAACTGCAAACCTTGAAAAGTACAAACTGGAAAAATTTTCTGATCTCTTTTATGTCTGAATTTCTTTTTTCAAAAGAGTAAATGAAAATATTCATACAATGTGGGAAAAAATAATTGTAGACCACTAACAGGTATGCATTGCTCTCAAAAAAATTTTTTAACACCTTTTTTTTAATTTCTACCACTGGACCCATACATATTTTTTTAAAGCTTTAAGATTTTCACCAGAATTTGCATGACCATATCAGTAGTAACAGTTCTAAGGTGAGGCAGGGCAACAGGCTATATTTACCCCTTGAAAATAAAACTTCACTAATTCAAAATTGCTCATAATCTAGGCAAGAGTTGGAATATTTGGTCTTTTCAAAGGGAATTCTTTACACAGTGGGCAGTGTAGAAAAGAATAAATTTTGTACAAGAAAGTCAAATGTGACTTTCCTGAACAAAATTCTTTACACAGTGGGCAGTGTAGAAAAGAATAAATTTTGTACAAGAAAGTCAAATGTGACTTTCCTGAACAAAAGTAGAACCATCACTAGGTAATAATTGATATTAAAAGAAGAAAAACTCAGAGAGGTCCTTCCATCAATTAATCTGTAGTGAAGTTTTACTCTATGCATCTTGGCTCTGGCACTTTTTGCAAGAATAGTATTAGCCTTCATATCTGTACTCACAATTCTATACTCAGTAAGTCTATAATAAAAACAGGCCACTTTAGAAAATTTAATAATCCTTCAATTAATATTTTAATACAGTGAATATTCCATAAAAATATGTATTAAAGGATTCTAAAATAATATGTTTGTAGTATTAGCATATTTTTATCCATTGAATCTAAAGAATCACAGTATAATCCTGATATTCTTTTACCTTCACAAGTTCTTTAAATACAGCATGTTGAATCATTTTTCTTTTGTTAAGACCAGATGCCATCTCTTCAAGATCAATAGCAGACCTTCATGACAGCAGTGATTGGGGTGAGGAGGAGAAAGGTCAGTTAAGACATTCTAAAAAAAAAGTTTCTGCCCCAAAGACTGTAAGAATATTCTATCATTCATATTAATAGTCTTCCAATTCTAACAAGCATATAATTATTATAGATACATGAGACTATACCATAAAGAATTTTACCATTAAATATCAGATGCAAGACTTTGGTTAGTTTTTCAAGGCTTTTATTTTGAAAGTATAAGTATTTGTCCTAATATCACTGCAAAGTACTAGTTTTACTTATTTTTCTTGCAGCTTATATATTTTATACATCTTTACAACTAATAGAAAACAGGACTACTTTCTCTGGTTGTAAATGCTTAAATGCTAGTAGTCCTATACTTATTCCCAGTTTAACAATACAAAAACAAGAGATGTCTTAACCATAAGGGCTGGGATTCAACTGAGGTACCTGTATTGTTCTATGTGTCCTGCCCAGTCAGTGTCTGCTCCAATGAATACAATAACTGACACCACACACATTACTTCTTCATTCAAATATGGACAGAGAAACCAAAAGGAGAATAAAAAAGAATATAATTCTCCAATAATGAGGAGGCTGATTAATACCATCTTAAGACTGAAGACAATAAAATGGCACTAATCTGAATTGTTAAAAGGCTTTTATATTAAAATACTACACAGTATGTAATTGAATCCATCCAAATAAAGGACTAATAAAATAGAAAAAAATCCATAATTAAATGAAAGCCACATGTAGTTCATTCTTTGAACCATCATTATGGAAATATACTAAACACATAGTCTTCCAACATATGAGTTCTATACTTTTCCAGTGCTGCAGAGCAGAAATGATTCAGGATATAGCCACCTTTTCTAGTTAGTACCTCAACCCAGTAAATTAAGCTTAGTTTTGCATGTTTATTACCTGATTAATTTAACTTACTTAACATTCTCTCTTAGTTGCTTCACTAGTTTAATATTAACATCTGCTTCCAATAATGCTGTACATACTTCTTTTAGCATAGCATTTAATACCTGAAAATAAATAAACAAAAATTTAAAGTACCCAGTGGATCATTTCAATGACATAAAAACAATGATTGATCAGTTATCATATACTACCATAGCTTAGTAAAGATAAAATAATATTACATTATTTGGGGGCTGGGGGAGCTTTTCAGTTAGCTTTGGTGAGATAATCTTATTAAGTGCCCATTTCATCAAAATAAGACATCCCATTTAGTTTTATATAAACCACTATTAATTACTATAATTTTATTTCTATATTAAATAATAAACATAATATTCAAGTCAAAAAAAATTACTATACAATAGATGTTGCCATTGATGTTTTCTATGTCACTGAAGAGCTCCTATTACTGATATTAATACATAATGGTATACAGTAACAATATTTGCTTTTCTTAACTGGACAACCATAGAGGAAAATGTTGGCAGAATAAAACTACCCAGTCTTACCATTTCTATTCAGAATGGAGGAATAAAATTGGAAAGGAAGCTATCCTCTACTAATAACTATCATTACATGTTTGTTGAAGTGCAAGGCACTATGGCTAAAAGTAACAGATTATAAAGTCCTACGAAAAGATGAGTCTTTAGGTACTCAAGTATGTAAATGCTTACAAACTACAATGTAAGCTCCATGAGGGAAGGAATTTTAGTCTATTTCGTTCACTGTTATATTTCTTGTGCCAGCAAAAATGTCTTCAAAAATGTGGGACCTCAAATACTTCTTGAATGAATTCTCTTCTTCAACTGACTTCATACGCCCTACAGAGGCTTATCAGTTTTCTCTATCCCTCATTAAAAGTGTCTTATAAAATTGGAACTGATCTTTCATTAGAGGGATTCCTTCTTGTTAATTCGCTAGCACTACAGTATCAAAAACAGAGAAGCAACAAATTCAAGCATCAGAGGTTACTTTACTTCCCATCAAAGCACTTCTCCACTGGTTTCCTTTTTCTCGACTATAAACACAAAGAGCATAAGGGCTATACAACAGGGAAAACTGTTCGGAAAGTTGTTTTATTCATTCTGAATTACAAGACTAAACAATGGTTTAAGTTATGATTTATTATTTAATAAGAATTATTAGAAAAAGCACTGGGTGGAGAATTAGAAAAAAAGATTCTAATTCTGTTTCTTCCAATAAATAAACACATGAAATTGATTTTCTGTTTCCATTAAATAAGAGGCTAGACTAGGTGATCTCTAAGATGGTCTCAAAATTATTTAATTCCATCAGCCTACTAAAGTGTTGAGATCAGATTCTATATTAGAATTTTTTTTCCAACCTCCAAATTAGAAAGTTCATTTGATCCTTAAACCATTTTGTAAGGTAAATGCTATTTTTCCATTTATACATTAATGAATCTGTGGTTGATGTGCCCAGATTTATATCACACAGCTACTAATTAGCTAAAGTGGGACTCTAAACAACATCTTCTAATACCAAATTCAGTACTTTTTCCATTGTTAATACAAAACATATACTTGTGAACTATAATCATCTTTTTCAATTAACAAGCCACTAAGATAAATTTGTGGGGAAAAAATGGGAGAAAGAAATAGCTTAAACTTAAAACAATATAGCCAAGAAGAAGAGTATTTCAGATATGATATAAGGAGTCAGCTTACAAAAATCCCCAAAACTAAACAAGGATTTCAATGAAAATGAATCAAAGTAGCCAAGATAAAATGCTAGCCTTACAAGAAGAATGCTAAGTAAAAGTCACAGAGAAAAGGTCAGATAAGCACATGCCTAGCCAAGAAGAAAGAAGCAAGATAGTAAAGTTTTAGGTCTATGTCAAGAGAAAAAGCAAAAGTACATTTCCAGATTTAAGCCATTTTCAAAAGTTAAAATATATCTATCTTTACATGTAAGCTCAGGTCATTTTTGTTTTGGGGGGTTTTTTGGAGAATTCTTTATAGAAAGTTGAAGTAATAGTACGATAGTTGATTTCTCAATAAAAAACACTACTTATTGTATACGGCTTTAGGTTTTTACCTACAAGTATTAAATCTACACCAAAATAAACACAGGGATTACTAATAATCCATGTCCCCAATGCTAGTGATGATATATAATCACACATATTGCACAACTTTTTTTTTGAGACAGAGTCTTGCTCTGTTGCCGAGGCTAGAGTATAGTGCCATGATCATAGCTCACTGCAGCCTTGAATTACTGGGCTCAAGCGCTCCTCCTGCTTCAGCCTCCCAAGCAGCTGGGACTGCAGAAGAGTACCAACATGCTAACTAATTTTTTAAATTTTTTGTAGAGACAGAGTCCTGTCATGTTGCCCAGGCTTGTCTCGAACTCTTGGCCTCAAGCAATCCTCCCATCTTAGCCTCCCAAAATGCTGGGATTATAGGCATAGCCAGCCTCACATAATATTTTTTTACATACCTCTTCATTGATAATGGTGGCATTGCTCAATGAGCGTAATGCTGATGTTATTTTTCTTCCAAGGTCTGCTAGAACCATCTTGAAGACTTTAAGATGTGCTTATAAGGAACTCTAGAAAGGAAAAAAAATTAAATGAAAATGTTTGAGATCAATTTCATTTCCCATGACTCAAGACTTCTAAAGAAGAGTAAAATTAAAGTACCCTAGTGTTTAGATACGGTAATATCAGCTTCTATTGCCTCAACCTGTGCTTCAATACAGTCAAATCCAAAAGATAAAACTGCCACTTGGTTATGATGCCTATGATGTTTGAACACCGAACTGGAATCTTGTATATTAACCAGCAAAAATTAACATATCAAATAATATCCTTTGAGGAAAAATGACATGATCTCAAATTAAATATGTTCTCTTTTTGGTACATTACTTACACATGTGAAGAACACAATGATGTATTCATGTACATTTTTAAATGAAAAGAAAGATTTAAAAAAGGTGAAATCTCCAGGAATATTGCCTAATTTCTGACATTAAAGGACTCTGCAAACTATTTTGATTTTTGCTCCTAAGCAAAAAAGAAAAGGTTTTAATTAATAAATCACTTAACTTTTGTAGTACAAAGAAAAGCAACTGTTGAGCCATTAACTATATTAACTATATGACAGGCACTGTGCTAAGTGATTCCACATACATTACTTCATTTTATTTTTCTAACCACCAAGGAAAGAGGTATATTACTACTCTTCCCATTTTAAAGCTGTTCCTGATTCCTCGACTCTAAAGATAACCACAAAAACACTTTCCAGCTCTACAAAGTATACAGATAAACATGTAAGGATACAAGGACTCATGGATGGTAAACAAGCAAATACAATTTGGAGTCCCTGACCTCAAGATGCTTATCTATTAGCTTATCTATTAGACAAGGCACACGAATGAACAGCAAAATAAATACTAAGAAAGAATTCCTCCTGCCTGGCTGTCTAGGAATTGGGACATCAGCTTTTTCCTGTCTTCAAACTGAAACACTGGTTCTTTCTGGGTCTCAAGTCTGCTAGCCTTCACACAGGAACTATATCATTCACTCTCCTAGTTCTCAGGTCTTTGGATCCCAGCAGGATCTACACCACTGCATCTCCAGCTTGCCAAGTCATCCTGCAGATTTGGGACTTGTCAGCCTCCATAATTGCCTGAGCCAATTCTTTGTAATAAATCAATCTCTCCCTCTCTCTCTCTCTCTCTCTCTCTCTCTCTCTCTCTCTCTCTCACACACACACACACACACACACACACACACACACACTCTATTGGTTCGGTTTCTCTGGAGAACCCACTAATAACGGTAAAGAGATACTTCAAAGCTAGCAATGGCAGTCTATGGTTAACTGCCAATCTTTAATCTACAAAAATACAAAGGAAGAAAAAATATTCTAGGCTAAGGTAGATAGAATAAACTATATTGGAACAACTGAATATGAATTTGGTCCTGAAATATGGGTAGAATTTGGATAAGTGGAGAAAAAGACGAAAGGGAATTCGAGGAAGATGAAATGGCGTAAGAAATGGCAACATGGAAAAGCCCAGGACATACTTATGCCTTCCATGTGCACTGTATTTACAGATTACTGAGCACTATCTGAGGGACAGTAAATGAGACAAAGGCCTCTGAAAACTAGATTTAAAGAAATACCAATTGTCCAATATAAGTAATACTGGCAGAAAAGTTAATTGTTCAAAACAACTTTTTTGGTAACCTTTCCAAGCTAATCTACCAATTTAGTCAACCAAAATTATCCAGACTAGATCCCATCTACAGAGGACACAGGAGATTAAAAATAAGGGAAACAGGAGACAAAATAGCTGACTCATCCAACAGAGAAAGGGTAGAGAGGTGAGGGGAGTCAAAAGAGTCAGGAAGGAAAAATGCATTCTAGGACTTACCACTGTGCAAAAGACATCCCAGGTTGAGGTATACATTAAACACTACACTTTCACTCAAGTAAAATTTATAATTTAGAACTTAAAAAAAATTACTACCAACAGTTGATAAATTCAAAAAAATGTGCTTACCATAAGTTTTTTTTTTTTTTACAATTACATGGTTACTTAACCTGAAAGAGCAATTACTTCATGGAAAAGATCCTGGACTTATTATTTCTTATCCCATACCCATTATACTAAATAATTATTAATACTTAAGTTAATATTATTTATGTAAGACATAAGATTCAGATGTTTCAGTTCATCTCCTTTACCACTGTGCTCTCAGGAGTGATATAACCCTATTTATGACACCACAATTAACTTTTCTAGTGATCATGTCATAAACAGATCACCCTTCATTTTAAAGAGCTATAAATAAATCTAACTTCCTGTGTTAACTGGTTCTTTTAAATTAAATTAAATTAAAAAATAAACTTCTCTGAGGTTTTCCAATACACTTTTCCTTGTATATGTACTTATTGGCAGCGTATTTTAAAATATTTTTGCCTTAAATAAAAACCTGCACTTTAGTAGAGAAACAAGAACACCTAATGATACCTTTTAATTAATAGTGTTTCCTCTGCAATTTCCAAGGATGTGTTTCTGAAAACTGTTAGAATTCTGCTTAAAATCTCAGTGACTTCCTATTGCACACAGAGGTAAAGTCCTCAGAATGGATCATAAGGCACCCCCAAATACATAAACATGTGCATGCGCAAGCGCGCGCACGCGCACGCCTGTGCTACTGACCTCCTTGCTGTTGCTGCTACTCATCTCCAGCTCAGTACCTTAGTATTAGCCAGCATGTTCTTCCCCTAGTTGACAACACAGCTCTCTCCCTCATCTCCTTCAGATCATTGTCCAGATGCCATTTCTCAAAGAGGCCTTATTTAAAAATGCAAACCCTCTCCCTTTTATTTTTTCAACTGTTCCATTATCAATTGACACATGAAATACTTATATTATTTGTAATCTATAATCTCCCTATTGAAAAGTAAGCTGCATGAGGGAAGAGATTTTTGTCTCTTTTGCTCTTGCCTGTGTCCTCACTGCTTTATCTATCCTCAGTCTTACACAGTAAACCTTTAATAAAAATGAACTTTATGAATGAACGAAATGATATATTTAAGACCATAGGGAAAAAGCAAGACCTGGTAACCAAAGTCATGAAAAGTCTTAAAAATATCTGTTAAAGGCCACTAAAATAAATCAATGAAGATAACATGATGAATCAAAAGACAATCAATGACCCGGGTAACTGATATTGTACATTTAACATATTCATTTGCCAATACTTATTATAACTTTTCAGAATTTCCCTACCATGCATTTCCAAGACTTAAAAATTAACCTTACCTTGTTATAATATGTACACTAAAATGCAAAACACTTTTTTTCTGTTAATAGCTAACCCTAAATCTCAAATTAATCTACAATTCAATCACACTCACTCAAAATTCTCTTGGCTAACTAAAAAGATTTACAGAAATAAATCTGTATATGCTAGAATTTCACACACACAAAAATTTCAATTTATATGGGGTTTCCAGAAAGGTAAGCGATTACGACACAGTACTTTCAACAGTTTAACATCTATTATCTCATTCCACCCTCACAACAATTTTATGATACAAGCAGGTTAGGGAACGGAACAGCCATTCCCTACCAAAAATGCAAAATGACTTCCCACAGTCCTTTGGCTACCCAGCCTTAAGTCCTAGAGTATAAATGATGTTTTTTAAATGATACGGTTGAATACATCAGCTGGGACAAATTTTTTTTTCTTTTTTTTGAGACAGGGTCTGGCTCTATTGCCAAAACTGGAGTGCAGTGGCATGATCATAGCTCACTGTAACTTCCAACTCCTGGGCTCAAGCAATCCTCTGACCTCAGCCTTCCAAGTAGCTGGAACTACAGGTACGCACTATCATGGCCAGCTAATTTTTTAACTTTTTGTAGAGACGGGGGTCTCACTATGTTGCCCAGGATGATCTCCAACTCCTGGTCTCAAGTGATCCTCCCACCTCAGCCTCCCAAAATGCTGGGATTACAGGCATAAGTCAACGTGCCTGGCTCCAGGGACAAATTTTGCTGCTATACTATAATAGAAGAAATCATATTTTGAAAGGAAAGATGCATATTGCTCTTTGTGGAAGAGTAATTGCAATTCCCAGAAAGAACTGATAAGTACCACTGCAGTACAGTACAGTACATACAAGGACTGATCTTGGCCCAAGTCATAGCTTTTTCTAACTGGAGTGCGACCAGGAGTTGAATAGTGAGTAACGGAAACAGTTCAAGTTGAGGGTGCCCTAAGTAAGGCAAGCACAGGGCCAAGTATCATACTTACCTGCTGCAGTGTGAAGTACTCGAAAGAGCATGGGCTTTGAAGTCTGACAGACTTGGATTCAAATCCCAGCTCTGTTACATACTGGCTGTGTTACTTTGGGCAAGTTACTTAATCTCTCTGAGCCTCACTTTCCTCACCTGCAAAATGGAGATAATACCATTACCCTGAAGGGCTGTTGTGAGGATTAAATGAGACAATATGTATAAAACTGCCTGCAATTTCCTAGCATATTAACTATGAACTTCCTTTCTTTCTTGAATGATACCAACTAGCCCTCCCTATGTTATCTAGAGTCTAAGTAAGCAGGAAATTTTCTGAACAACCCCACCAAATGCCCATCCCATCATCCTGGAAACATCCCTGGGATCTTTAACATTTAGTGCCAATTATCTGGTTTTTATTCACTAGCAGCTGCAGTGTCCAAAAAGCCACCCTTCTCTACATAAACAATTTTAAGTATTCCTGCCAGAATTTTCCCTGATCTAAGATTATATAAACAAACTGTAATGATTAGAGATTTCAAATCCTATTACAACAAATCCCTACAAAAAGTTCTAAGTCCTTGTCAATGACTAACTCTTTGAATCAATTAAACCTAAGAACTAAATATACAAATATATTATTTTTAGCAAATATCCTTAGAAAAATCACTTCTACATAGTACAGTTGGCCCTCTGTATCTGTAGGTTCCACAACTGTGGATTGAACCAATCACAGATCAAAATATTCCAGAAAAAAAACCTGCATCTGTATTGAACATGTACATACTTTTTCTTGTCATTATTTGCTAAACAATACAGTATAACAACTATGTACATAGTATATATAGAGTATAACAATATAGTATAACAACTATTCACATATTGTATTAAGTACTGTAAATAATCAAGAGATGCTTTAAAGTACACAGGAGGAGGTACATAGGTTATATGCAAAAAACACAGAGACTTGAGTATCCATAGATTTTGGTATCTATGACAGGTCTTCTAGAACCAGTACCCTCAGAGAATACTGAGGGATGACTGTATATCTTTTTAGATACTAGTCAAAAGCTCATAATCAATATTTGCTTTCCTGACTATAATACTAAATATACATATTTTTAAAATTCTGCATAGAGTATGTGTTCAAAGTCTAGGACCATATAAAAGTAAATTTAGTTAACAAAATAGCCTATAGATATTGTATCTGATAAAATTATTATTCTTGAATGACTAAATTTATAGTGTTAATTATGACTTTCACATTTAGGAATTGTTTTTCACGCTTAATCTACTCAGTTCCCCAAGGAAATAATTCACCTTTATGTTTTGTGATTACAAGAGGATACATGTTCATTGTAAAAATTCAAACATTATAGAAATATTTTAGGTAGAAAATATAATTCCCCTAATCCTACCCACTCTCATCCCCTGGTAACAAGAAATAATAATTTGATATATATTCCTATAGATTTTATTTTCAAGATGTATTAATTTAGGCAAGTTTTCACAACACTTATGGTTTTGGGGGAGGGTAAAGAGAGGAGCAGAAATTAGGAAAATTCTTTTGTAAAATATGCTTGCTAACGCTAAAAAAAGACTTAAATGCAAAAGACTACAAAACTGCATATATTATCTAATCCATACTTTGTTAAACACAGTCTAAAAACAAATATCAAAAAATAACATTAGAAATCAGAGACCTGTAAATCAAAACCATAATGAGATATCACCTTATACCCACTAGGATACCTATAATCAAAAAGACAATAGTAAGTGTTGGTGAGGATGTAGAGAAATCAGAACCCTCATACACCACTGGTGGGAATGTAAAATGGTGCAGCCCTTTGGAAAACAGGTTTGGCAAATCCACAAAATGTTAAACACAGCGTTAATTCCACTCCATATCCAATAGAAAGGAAGGTATACATCCAAACAAAAACTTGTACATGACTGGGCATGGTGGCTAACAACTGTAATCCTGGCACTCTGGGAGGCTGAGGTGGGAGGATCACTTGAGCTCAGGAGTTCAAGACCAGCCTGATCAAGAGGGAGACCCCATCTCTACTAAAAATAGAAAACATTTGCCCAGCATGGCAGTACATGCCTGTAGTCCCAGCTACTCAGGAGGCTGCGATAGGATGATCGCTTGAGCCCAGGAGTTTGAGGTTGCAGTGAGCTATGATGACGCCACTGCACTCTAGTCAGGGCAACAGAGCGAGACTGTCTCAAAAAAAAAACAAACAAAAAAAACAACTGTATACATGAATGGTCACACCAGCATTATTCATAATAGTCAAAGAGTAGAAACAACCCAAATACCCGTCACTGACAAATGGATAAGTAAAATGTGGTATATCCATACAATGGGATAGCACTAGGCAATAAAAAGAAATGACATACTGAACATATGCTACAACAGGGATGAATCTTGGAAGCATTACGCTAACTGAAAGAAGCCAGTCACAAAAGACCACATATTATGATTCCATTTATATGAAATTTTCAGACTAGGCAAATCTATAAATACATAATAGTGGATTAATAGTTGCTTAGGGCTCAGGAGATGGAGTAAAACGGCGAGTGATTACTAATGGGCATGGGGTTTCTTCATAGGGTAATCAAAATGTTGTAAAACTGATGATGGTGATAGTTGCACAACTCTGTAAATACACTAAAAACCTTTAAATTGTACACTTTAGGTAAACTGTATAAGAATTATATTTTAATACATCAGTACATCTATTAATAACATTTGTAATCACTGGATGATGAATAACTAGTTAAATTTTTATTTTCTTATTTATACCTTTTTGTAATTTCCAAGTTATTGGTAACGACTAAAAGTATTATTTTTTTAAGTCAAGGGGAAAATTATTTTCCAAAGTGCTTCTTGGGAGAATCAGAACACTATTAATCAACAGACTGGAGATTAAGATAGAGTTGCCACTTATATTCATTTAGTTATTTATTTATTAAACACCTACTATGTGCTCCAAAAATTGTCCCAGCATGAGAAAAATTCTAACTCCAAATCAATCAATTACACAACAGTTTAACACAGACAAGGCTCTCTTTTTAACTCCAGAAGATAAATTATGCATCATACCATCAGACTCCTCTGCATTAATTTTGCACAGAAGGTTATGTTCAATTATATCAGACAGCAAGATGGGGGTTAGAGGAGCAACTGGTTTGGAAGGAGGGCTTGAAGATGATTTTGCATAGTACTCTACGTTAAGCTAGAAAATATTAATTGACCATATCAAAAAATTGAGGGAAAGGGGTTTGAGGGAAATGTTTCCCTCCCCTTTGGCACCACCATTGCTACGTTCTGGGCTCTGTACCAAACATGTTACCTAATCTCCTTTCATTTTCATAATAAGCCTATTAGGCAGATGAGGAAACTGAGGCCAGATTGGAATAGCAACTTCCTCAGGGTCACGAATCTCCTAAGGAGCACATTAACGCATATCTGTGTTCCCATAGCTCTCTATGGCTCTTTGTACTTAACTAATGTTTCTCATTACTCATCTTGATATAATGTATATTTATGTGCATTTCTCTCACTGTACTGTTAGTTTCGCAATGGCAAGGTTAGTGTCCTTCATTTTTGTACCCCTATAGCCAAGAACGATTAAATATTTTGTTGAATTAAGCATATTAAAGAATCAGGTGAGGGTAGTTATCAAGAAAGCCAATAGGGGAAAGTTTCAAAAAACGGGTTGTCAGTAGTGTCAAATGGTACAGAAAGAGTCATCAGTATATTTTAAATCATCACTGGCATTGAATTGATATTCCTTATTCATTTATTGAACGTCTACTACACGCAGGACATGTGTTAAGCACTATGAACACATAGGGAAAAAAATCTGGTATACGTCAAAAGGTTTTCGGGGAAGTAGTCTCATCTAAATTCTTATTCAGGAAAGCAAAACAAAGTGTCAGGCCTGCAACTGCCTACATCTTATTTGCCTCCGGTAAACGTGAATACAACTTAAAAGGGTCACATCGCATCTTTTAATAAAACTTCTGATGGAGGACACGAGATAAAGAAGGGCCAAAGCACCTCAGTCTCGGTGACGACGGCCAGGGAAGTGAGGTGGCCAGGGAAGCCGGTTCCCTCTAGAGTCTCTCGCCCCCTATGCAGAGCTGGGGCTGCCCCTCCATAATCTGGGGCGGGAAAAAGAAGACACTTACCGCAAAAGGCACCGCTAACACCGTGGCCCTAAAGGGCCGGGGATTCCTCAGCGAGGCCTCACGCCGTGGGAGGAAATCCAAGAAAGCTGGGAGCAGCAGACAGGTACGACCCCACAAACCGGCTTCCCGAACTATATAAACTAGGGTCCCAGCGCCCAGTACCGCGACGCTAACTCCCACCAGCTGGAAGACCGACGACTGCCACCGAACCTTCCGCCCAATGAGGAAACGTCACCACTCAGTGTAGTCCAGCCTTTCATGAAGGGGATGTACTTCCGCTTCCGGGGCACACCGCTGCGTTCTTCCAGTGCTTCTGGTGAAAGGGTTTGAAGAGGAATCTGTTTGCTTCCACTGGCTTTGACTTTAGTTTTCTACGGCTGAATGACTGCAGCAGCAAAGTTAGTGGTAAAATAGGAGGCTCTGTAGCGCTGTGGCCTTGGGAAAGAAGTCAGGTCTCTAGGAGCCACCTTAAGAAAATGTAACTACACTGAGCACTGCCAGCTAAAAGAGGAATGATGAGAGATGGGGGTGGTATTGAAGGTAGGGATTCCTGGGCGCACGTGAGGCCTCCATAAGGGGGCGGGTCTTAGGGCTTTCGCAGTGAGAGAGGCGGTTCCGCCGAAGGTGGGATCGCTGTTCGGGCCAGCCCCTGCGTGCGCGTGCGCAGTGCCAACCGGAGCTGCTTGCTGTGAAAACATGGAATTTCGCTCCGCGAAGCGGGCAATACTACAGCTTCTCCATAATGTGGCTCCGGCAGACTGCCCGGCGCTGCTCCAGTGGATGCGAACTACCCGTAAGTGACTAGAGGCAGGTGGTTGGGGAAAGGATATGCTGTGTGGGCGCTGGCCTGGGGACTTAGGCGGGGTGAGGCCAAAAGCCTTCCACGGGGTCGGTGTTGGCCTCTGCTCTCCAGGGGGCTAGGCTGACCAAGGCACGCCTCAGACCTGGGGCCTGAGTACCCGCTTGCGATTGGGTGCAGGAAGACCGGGCCCTAGGTGGTTCAGGATTTTGCTGCAGACTTCGGACAAGCCTCTAGAGCCTCCTTGTGCTTAACCCTTTTTCTGAAAGGGTTTTCTCCCCATTACTCCCACAAACTTACGAAGATAGATAGAGTACTACTTGAAAAACCACTTTGCAAGAGAGGTTTGAGGCTGTGAAATTGGAAGCTTTTACCATGCAGATAAAATCACCTGTAGCTAGTGCATTTATTTTCTTGATTGTGAAATGGACCATTTAATGGCAGTATTTTTGGGGTGGGGGAAAAAGGGGGGAAAAACTTTGATTTTAAACTTAACATAATTAATAACAGTAATAATAAAAAGCACAAATTAGAATTGAGGAAGTGTGGTAATTAGATCTAGTTACTGAAAAATGGGATAGATCTATTCTGGCAAAGTGAAGCCTGACGAAGCACAAGAAAATAGGTAGGATATTCCTTGTTTGATAGCTCAACTAAACAATACTATGCCTCTATATCACTAAATGTTGATTCTTATGGTGGTTATCTTCCAGACTCTCATGACCTGAAAGATCCTTGTTTGCTAATGACTCCCAGTTTTAGATTTTTAACCTTGACCTATTCCTAAAACTCTCTTTGTGATATTGGAGTCAATTGGTAGATTTAGGTATTATAATAATTATTATTACACATTTTAGGAGTCGTTTTAGGTAAGATGCGAAACTAAAATTAACTTGAACATCGGATAGGTTTATCCTGGAAAGTACAGAAAACGGGGCATATAGTGTTATATTTATGCACATATACAAGATTATTTCAAGATGGGAATTTCCAAAATGTGCTGAGTCTCCTCTCACTTCATTTAAACCCTGTATTGCCTGTTTCATTCATCATATTCTAACTGTTTATATAAAACAGTACCAATTTTCATTTTTTTCCTCAGTATGAGGTCATTTATTCCAAAAGCATTGAATGCTTACAAAAATGACACATACTGCCTAGCTCTCGCAATTGTACAATTACCAAAACATCCTTGCCTTCAAGAAGATTTCAATCTCGTGGAGCCATTTGCAATGTAAATCTCAAATTTTAGAGGAATCAATTAAGACTCCATTTTTCAAAATCAGGAAGACTTGAAAGCATGTTTTGGATGAAAATTTTGTAAACAAGAAGAACCAATATCACTGGCTAAAGAATAGGTTTTGACATTTTCTTAAAGGTACTGAAGTGCCTCTCTAACTGACCCTGTAGTCAGGAAACTCAACCAATTTGTTAAACAATTTCAAAAACAACTTGAGTTTCTGAAGAACGCTTATTAACATGAATATTTTAAGAAATGAGAGTGTCAGCTTAAAATGGAGTGTCTTTTCTTAATAATCCTAAAAAAGTAGTATGTTATTATACATTTTTCATTGTGGTAAAATATAGAGAAAACAAAATTTACCATTTTAACCATTTTTTAGTGTACAATTCAGTGGCATTAAGTACATTCATATTGTTGTATAACCATCACTGCCATCCATCTCCAGAACTTTTTTTTTTTTTTTTTTTGAGACAGAGTCTCACTCTGTTGCCCGGGCTAGAGTGCCGTGGCGTCAGCCTAGCTCACAGCAACCTCAAACTCCTGGGCTCAAGTGATCCTCCTGCCTCAGCCTCCCGAGTAGCTGGGACTACAGGCATGCGCCACCATGCCCGGCTAATTTTTTCTATATATTTTTAGTTGTCCAATTAATTTCTTTCTATTTTTGGTAGAGATGGGGTCTCGCTCTTGCTCAGGCTGGTTTCGAACTCCTGAGCTCAAACAATCCGCCCCCCTGGCCTCCCAGAGTGCTAGGATTACAGGCGTGAGCCACCGCGCCTGGCCATCCAGAACTTTTTCATCTTCCCAAACTGAAACTCTTAGTGTGCCTTTATGAAGTGGTCTAACAACAGAAAAGATTCTCCCAAACAACTGTTTTTCATTTTCCTAATTAGAGTTCCTTTTTCCAGTGAGGGAAAAAAATTTTTTTTTCATCTCTAGGATTAAGTTGTTTAAATAATACCTTACTTGGGTGGGGCATGGTGGCTCATGCCTCTATAATCCCAGCACTTTGGGAGGACAAGGCAGGACAATCACTCAAGACCAGTCTGAGCAACACAGTGAGACACATCACTACAGAAATTTGAAAGATTAACTGTGCGTGGGGTTGCACTCCACTATTCCTTGCTATGCAGGAGGCTAAGGCAGGAAGATTGCCTGAGCCCAGGAGTTTGAGGTTGCAGTGAGTTGTGATGATGCCACTGCACTCTATCCTAGGCAACAGAGTGAGACGCTGTCTAAAATAAATAAATAAATGTCTTGTGTGACATTTGCTTAGACCTTTAATAATTATATCTTCTTGAATCTTTATATCACTTAATGGAATAACAAGGACAACAATACATGCTCAGTATGAGTTTGGTTTTGAGTTTCATTGAGTTTACTAAAACTGGAAAACATCTAAATATTATTAACAGGTAAAAATCACAATAATTTTAAATAAAAGGAAGAATAAAATTCCTGGTCTCTGAAGGGGTAGTGGGATTATTACACCAAGATTTGGGGTCATTTAGGATCATGCTAGTGGAACCAAAAGCTTGGACCAGGGCAGAGCCAAGCACATGTCAATGTCTATTACAGACTGAAGATGTAGAAGATACAAAGGTAGGAGCCTACATTTTTATCTTGGTACAGCTTAGGCCAAATGTCTAGGAAAGAGTAAGCACTAATATGGGAAGTCTGAGGGGCAAAGCAGGCAAAGATAAACTCCCCTCCCTCCCAAAAATAAAAAGCAGTTTAAAATACAGCAATAGCTCAGCTCATTGTTCCTGATCCTATGGCAGATGATCTGTTTTCATTTCTGGATGTGTATAAAGTGGGATTTTGAGCTAGGCTCAGTAGCTTATGGGCTGGGGGGCTGGGAAGAGTTGCTTGAGGCCAGGAGTTCCAGAACAGCCTAGGCAACATAGAAAGACCCGGCTCTGTAGCATGTGCCTGTAATCCTAGATAGTCAGGAGACTCAGGCCGGAGGATCACTTGAGTTCAGGCATTTGAAGCTGCATTGAGCTATGATCCTGCCTAGGCATCAGAGAGAAACCCTATCTCTAAAAAGATAAATAAATAAAATGGGCTTTTGATCTAGATTTTAAAGTGTGGGACTGTGGTTCCCAAGCCCTGGGCTATGGCCAGGTACCAGTCCGTGGCCTGCTAGGAACCAGGCCAGCATCACTGCCCCCCGCCCCCCGGGAAAAATTGTCTTCCGTGAAACCGGTCCCTGGTGCCAGAAAGTTGGGGACCGCGGGTGTAGGAGACTGACTGCAATCCTTTAAGTGAAGGAAGCCGAGAGCCAGAACTACAAGTGGGGTTGGCAATAGGCATATAAAAAAATACATTGGAGTAACAATCTATTAAAAAACGCTATTCTGAAACTTCTCAATTTTTCCTGGATATGCCAATATAAATTAAGAAGTCAAACTAATAGCCCATAACATTTTCAATTAAGGATCAAGTTACAAGGGATAGAAAATTAGGGTTTGCTATAAGGAAATTAACAAAATCATCAAGAAAATATTTAAATGTTTAAAATAACAGTAGGTGACTAGAAACTTGTAGAAGTTTCTCCGTATCCTTTATTTTAAATGTATCTTCACTGAGCAGAATTGAACATGTCACTGAGCAGTAACTACAGAGCCATTAGAAGTTCTTTGAAATTCCAACAAATCTAAAAAAGGAGTTTAGGATCCAGTTATATTTGTCAGACAGCATACTGCTCCAATTCTACGTTGTATTAATATTAAGTAAGCATCCATGTAACTTAAAGATTTTATGATCTTTATTGAAACTATATGAATTTGTGAAAGTTATCAAGTATATGAAATAATATTAAAAGTAGATTGTTTTTTCAAAAACAAAAAGTATTGTTTGTTAATTAAAA